GGTCTGACCTGGGAAAGGTTTTCGCCCCAAGCGCCAGGAAAGGGCTGGCTCAGCCTCCTTCGGGTCCAAGGGGCAGCTGGCCCTTCGGTGAGGGGGCAGGACCGGCCTGGCTGGTGTCTGGTCTCCAGGAGCACGTGTGAACGGGGGTGTGCAGGCGTGAATGCATGCGCACACATACTGACTGCTCTGTTTAGGGCTCTGAGCTTCCTTCTGGCTATTTTCAAACGGGTAGTTAGGACAGCCCTGTGAGAGCACCTGCCCCTGGGATCAACAGAAGCTAGGGCAAGAGCCATGTTCATTTCCAAGGGCTCTGGAAATGCTGGGTAGATGGCGGATGCTTGTCAATCAGCTCTGCCCACCCAGCGGTCTCAAGGGGAAGGAGGCTGGGACGGGGACATCTGGCAACGGGGTCAAATCTTTCCAAATCTGCGCTATTGGTGTGGTTGGTGGCTTTGGAGCCCAGTGCGCACCAGGAGGCTGTCACCCCTTTCCCTAAGAGGGGAGAGGAGGCCAGCTGGATTCAGAACCAGCTCCAAAGAGCGGCTCTGAGTGACTTTGGCCGAGAGCTTCCAAGTGCTTCCAAGGCTTGAGGGAAAGGCTGGGATGGGTCAGGAAGGCTCAGGAAGGAGGTGGCCACATCACCAGTGACTGTCCTGATGCTTCTCACTTGAGGCTTTTAGGGGCTCACGATGTTGCAGAGCAATTGAACTGACTTCCCTTGGTGGACTCCCCTCATCCTTCCCTTGCTCAGACAGGGAGGAGTCTTGCACTTGGGGTGACAGAGGCCCTTGGCCAGGCTGTGGCTGGGCTGACGGAGTCTGGTGGTACATGGTGGTTGCTGTCAGCAGCTGGGAGTGCAGACAGCCTTGAACTTGGAGGGAAGGGCCTTCTGCAAAGGATCTAACCAAGGCCACCCTTCGGGGGGAAATATTTCTAACCGATGCGTTTGTGCACCCCATGGACCTACGGCTCCTTATCGAGGGGGAAGCGCCATCTCTCAAAGATCTCCAAGTGCTATGAAAAAATCAGCATCTGACTTTTCCCAATACTGAATGATATTTGTTTTTCTTTTTATAGTACGTGGGTTTTGATGTCTGGTAAATCCAAAGTCAGTTTTGACTTTTTTGAGAATGAAAGCCCGTAATAATCAATGTCATTTTTCCCTGATTGACATGATTACATGCTGATTTATCTAGTCTATAGTCCTTGGCTGCCTTTTTTTCCTTCCCAGTTGAAAGGAAACCTGAGTGATTTGGAATCAGATGACTTCTCACCTGCCTTCGGACCCCTGGCGCTGGCATCTGCAGGGCGAATGCCCCACGGAGCTGTGGCTAGGCCATCAAGGGCTAGTTTACGCCGCATGTTCAATTTGAGGAGTCATTGTGTAGTTTAGGGGGGCTGCATTGCTTAGAAGAAAGCAGGTGGGCTTCTCCTCCACCTCCACACCCCTCTGATCAGCAGCTGGAGCTGGCAAGTCTGCAGGGAAGGGGAGACCCCTGGAGGTGCCAGACACTGCTGGGGGCGCCTGCCAGCTCTTCTTCCATCGGCTCCTCCTGAGGGGATGTGGGTGTGGTCTCAGGAAGTGCTAATTGTCTCATCCAGTAGCTGCTGCTGCGGAAGATAAGGAAAGCTCCTGCCTGCCTTCCTCACTGCTTTTCCCTTTCTGCATCTGCCCAGCAGCTCCAGGGTCCCCAGCGGTTGGGACACAGGTGCTGAGGGTCCTTACATTCCAGTGGGGAGAGGCAGATGTGGAGATAAGTCCCCGAGGGAGTGTTACAGGGTCTATGAGACCGTGGCTCCACCCCAGTGGTGGTCAGAGTGAGTGAGGGTGGGGAGGGCGAATGCAGGTCACGGAAAGATGTGCATTGTATGGCTTCACCTAGGTGAGGGCCTGGGGGCAAATTCACAGATAGAAAGTGGAATGGTGGTTGCCAGGGGCTGGGGCAGGGATGACAGGGTTCCTATTTCACCAGCAGAGTCTCCACTGGGGAAGATGAAAAGTGAATGTACTTAACACCCTGACCTTCCAACCTAACAATGGTGAGAATGGTAAGTTTTATGTTATGTGTTATTCTACAGTGAAAACAGTGAGTTGATGGAAAGAAAAACATTAAACACAGATGATGGGGCCCAGAGCGAGGTGGTCTTTGACCACCTTGGTTGAAGACCAAGCGATGGCCAAGTTTGGAGGACCCTGTCTCAGCCGTGTCCAGTGTGGTTAGAAGGCTTCTTTCAATACTCTAAAGTTTTCTTCCTTTATTTCTCTCTTACATTTTCCATTTCTGAGTAAAAAGAAATGTTTTAGAACCACTCTTTGGTAAAGAGGCGGGTAGGAAGAGAAGGAATGTGATGTGTGTTGGAAACCTCTTTTGTACCAGTGTTCTACTGTCTTTCACTTCATTCTAACAGCACTGCGGTGTGGGCTTGAGCCCTGCTTCACAGACTGGGGAACTGGCCCCTGTGCTGACCAATGGCCAGAATGACCAGACTGGCTGCCTCACCCTGGGCCACCTACCTTCTGCTATGAGCTCTTTGGGGTGTCCCCTTGCCGCCATCCGCTTAACCCCTTTTACCTCCTGTCCACTGGGCGCTGCAAAGAATCTCACTTGGTTGGAATTCTGCACCTGCAGGGCGTCGACTCGGAAAAACATGGGTGGCAGATCAATGAGCAGCTAAATGGTGGGAACAAGTCTCAAGCAGAACACACACACTAATGCCGGCAACAACACTGGGCACCGCCTGGACTGCCGACTCTTCCAGTCCCTCGGTTCCAGAAGTGAAAGCAGATGGAACATGCCCTCACCACGCAAAACCCACAAAGCACTAGTCCTGGCGCCGCCGAGAACCGCAGTTCACATTTGGGTCAGTCCACTTCCCGTCTTTACTGGGCATGTGCATATACACAACCTAGTTTATTTATTTTCTTTTTTTGGTTGCACAGCATGTTCTTTCTTACAGTCCATAAAGTGGAGTGAGAAACCAGTGCTCTTTGGACACACAAAGGAATGAAATGTCTGTCAACTGTGAGATCAAGACCCTAGAGGTCAAGCATGATTTCTGGCAAGTCAAAAAGTGAATGAACTCAAGCCTACACTGGAAGGACCATTAATCTTAAAAAAGAAAAAAGTGGAACGAGGGACTCCATGTAGAAGAGCCTTTGGCATTTGGAGAGGGGCAGAATTTTAATATCCCTTGCTTTGCTTTAGTTTCCCATTGAATGCCAATAATTCCTTTCCTTTATTGTGGAAACTCAAATACTTTTATCACTCCTAGGCTTTTCCAATCGCCCCGAACCCCAAGCCCAGGGACTGGTCCCGCCCCCAGTCGGGATCCATGGAGTAGAACTAACAGGATGAGTTATGTTCAGAAGAAATCTGAGGGCCAGTGTTCACAACACCCTTGACTTTCATGGATCTTGGAGGCAGGACTCTGCTCTTTTGGAGTCAAAGATCTCTAATACTTTGTAAGTAATTCGTCATTTTGCTGCGGGATGTTTCTGGATCGTGTCCGGTGTGAGGCTGATGTGTAGAGATGCCGAGTAAGATTAGCTTACTTCATTCTTGCCTACCTACACAACCTATTTTGTTATTTTTTTTAAAAAGTGGAGTCTTTTTTAAAAAGATTTTATTTTTAGAGAGAAGGGAAGGGAAGAAGAGGGATAGAAACATCAATGTGTGGTTGCCTCTCACGTATCCCACTGGGGACCTGGCCAGCAACCTCAACACGTGGCCTAGACTGGGAATCAAACCGGCGACCCTGATTCGCAGGCCTGTGCTTGATCCACTGGGCTATGTCAGCCAGGGCCTACACACCCTATTTTAAATGGATGTTACAGCTTCCTCCCTTAGTTTACAACTAAATACATTAGGAATGTTTTCTTTTTTACAACAGTTAAAATAACTGCCTGGTATGGAAAAAACAGCTGATTAAACACTCTGTTGGAGAAATTTAGATATTTTTTGTTCCCAAGAAGACTTTATTCTCTTTATAATGCCTTGAGAAAAAAGGGGTATCCTTGTCTTCTGCAGCTTCCTACAGAAACTCGGCCCTGGAATCACCAGTCCAGCAATCCATCTTCCCTTCCCTGGTGTTCCTGGCCACACCCCTTCCTTCCCCCAGCACCTGCATCCTGTCCATCACCTCTACTAGGGGCCCTGCCCCCTCCCACTGGCTCTCTAGATACTTTCTTTATTTACTTATTTATTTATTTATTTATTTATATATATATTTTTATTGATTATGCCATTACATTTGTTCTATTTCCCCCCCTTCATTCCCCTCCACCCTGCACAACCCTCCCCCACCATTCCCCCCTTTAGTTCATGAACACGTGTCTCAAGTTCTTTAGATTCTACATTTCCCCTACTGTTCTTACCCTCCCCCGTCTATTTTCTACCTACCGTCTATGCTACTTATTTTCTGTACCTTCTCCTTCTCCCACTCCCCTGTTGCTAACCCTCCACGTGATCTTCTAGATACCTTCTTTAATCCCTTGTGATCAGCTCCACCTATGGAAAGCAGTAGCCTCTGTTCTACATTAGCTGAGCTAATCTGAGGACAGAATTGTTCAAAGGAAGATAATTAAGAAGCTCCTGGCAGAGTTACATGTATTAAGAAACATAGGAATGGGCCACATGTAGAAATGGCTGAGGGCTTTTTTCCTAAAGTAGTTTTTGGGGAGGGCCTGGCAGAGGTGAAGAGCTGGTTCAGGCGGACCTCACTGATTGCGTTGTGCTTTATTTGTGCTTCACAAAATAAAGACATTGCTTTTTTTTTTTTAACAAATTGAAGGTAATGCCCTTCACCCACAGAAAGATTACTTCTCACAGAAGGCTCCCATGATGGTTAGCGTTTTTCAGAAACAAAATATATTTAAGGTCTGTATGTTGTTGTAGACAGACTAGACTACGGTACAGTGTAAACAACTTTTATATGCACTGGGAAACCGGAAAAGTCGTGTGACTCACTTTACTGTGACATTCGCTTCATGGCAGCGTCTGGAACCAAACCTGCAGTATCTCGGAGGCACGTTTGCACGGTGAGGAGTGTCAGGGACCATATGGAAGTCTATCACTACTTCGAGGCAACCAACAAATGATCATCTCTCAGGACCTTGGAGAGACAGCTTCACAGGTCATGAGATCCGCATGACAGATGTCACACGCAAATGTCAACGGATATTAACTCCGTATAGCAAGGCAGGTGCCAGCCAGCAGGAGAGTGGAGCATGCTGATGGTGCCAGTTCTGGAGCGCTGGAAGCCGTGAGGTGTTCATCCGTCACTTGGCCATCTGGAAGGTAGGGACGCTTGGTCATTAAAGGAAATCCCTCCGGCAGTAGATCCTGCTGCCCACACACGTGGCGTGTCTACACGAGCCAAAAATCAGCAGGGCCCCAACATTTCATGAGCACAGGGCGTTTATGGGATCAACAGTACCGACTACATAAATTCAGACTCCTGAAAAAATCTGTCACCGAGAGCTGCCACAGGCTGACTGTGAACTTGCTCTTCCCTGGATGTGTGCTCTCACACCTGGTCACCTACCCCAGCCAGTGACACCTTCAATCAATCGCAGGGGTGCAGCCGAGCTCAGGTGGCCTCTGAGGTGAAGGGCACAGCATGTTTTGGGTCCCAAGGTGCAGGAGGAAAATACAGTCCCCACCCATCCAGGCATCCAGCTCACACTCACCAAATGCCTGTCCCGGCCTGACTTAGGATGCAAATGGGACGGACGCAGACACAGTTCCCCCGGGGTCGGGGGTCCCATCTTGTACTCAAGAGAAGCAACTGCTTTCACCTACTTTCCAGAGCGGGGCAGTTTCCCTTCCTAGCTTCTACAGGGTCAGAACTGGGAGAGGCCTCTGAACTTGGGTGGACCTGGAAATCTGGCTCAGGTCATAGCGGGGACAGAGCCCTCTCCTCTGGTCCCCCTTTAGGTCTCTGTCCTTCTTGTTTTCTTCATATCAGTAAAAGTCAGCCAGGTGAAAGGGGTCTGAGACCAATCACCAGGGGGGAGGGGAGTAGTCTGTGCAGGGACCTTCTAAAAACCATAAAGTCCCTAAGGAATGAGGGTGGGGCCAAGACTCTGGTAGAATTTAAGGGCGTTAATTGGAGTTGGGTGCCCCCCACCCTGCTGCTGAGGTGGGTACTAACTGAGCTTTCCTCCTGGAGATTTCTGGGGTTCCCCTGCCTGAAGTGAACGAACACCAGAAAGCATCTCTTGATGTTTCAAGAGGCCAAGTCTTTTTCTTGTTTGTTTTCCTCAATAGACAGTCACATACTATAAAATGTCAGAGAGACTTGGAATAACTCTCCATCCAAAGGGCTAGTGGCGTTTTGGGGCCACAACAATCAAGGATGCCAAGGTGACTGCCATCTGGAGCCCTTGACGCGTTTATGAACAGAACTTTGGCTGCCAGTCTCTAGCACGCCTGAGGTCAGACTAAAGACCCCATCAGCTAAGTGCCCACAGGCCACTTACTAACAACCAGAAAGGACAATGGCCACTTACCACAGCCCGGTAGGAACGTCTGACGGAAGCAGCGCAGCTGGCCATGCCAGCATTTACACAGGGAACACTTCCGGGGCAGCCAGGTGTCATGGGGCACAGACCCACAGTTCCTGAGCACAAGCGGGGGAGGCGATACATCTGTATTTAGAGTCCCCACTTCTCTTTCCCCTCCTCTCCACCCCACCCTTTCCTACTGGCTTACTCTCTGCGCCGGTCATGCTCACAGTTCCGTCCATAGAAGGAGGGGGGGCAGGCACAAAAGGACCCCAGCATACAGGTCCCCCCATTCAGGCAGCAGGTCTTGTTGAGCTCCTCACCTGAAATACAAGAGGGTGGGGAGGGAGGGATTGAGAATCTGGGCTTCCGTCAGCAAAGGCCAGCATGGTGTCAAGGACGTCGTCTCCTGGAAGTGTTGGCAGGTGTCTAAACAGTGTTAACCTCACTCGCAGAGCGAGGCTCTGGTTTTCAGTGTCCCTTTTGCCACCTGTGCCTTTGAGCAGGGAAACCTCTTCCATGCAAAGACCAGTAGTGGCTCCCCGAGTCCCCAGCGTGACCTGGAAGCGGGTGAAGGAAACTCCAGGGGTGTGAGGCATCCACCTGCTTTGCCCCCAGAAGGAACACCTGCCCGGCCATCTGCCCAAACTCAGAAGTGCGTCTCCTCCCGCTCTCTCAGGTGACAGAGACGAGAAGACAGAAGACATGGGGAGGGCCGGGAGAGTGACATCACCCACAGGGGAGACCTAAGGCAGGTAGGGCTTACTGTCCTGGATTCTCAGGGGCGGCACGAAGTGGAAAGGCCGATGACGGAGAGCTGGCTCCTCCGGTTGCTGCAAGGCCGGGTCTCCTTGTGACGGACGTGTGCGTTCATGGTGGCCCAACCCTGAACAACAAAATCGACTCATGAGTCTGCGTTTCGGGGTACATAAAAATGACCAGTGATCCAAAGAACCAAACGTCTCTTACCAGCAACTAATTCCGGTTCAAATGCTTTGGAAATGACCATGATCAGAATCATCCTAGGACGAGATCAGACATTGTTAGCAAAGCAAAGCAAAGCAAAATAGGACCTTTTGAGTTAAGACCCTGGGTCTTCCCATCACCAGGTCAAGGCCACAGAGCACTAAGGAGAAATTCTAGAGTAATTCTCAAGTATGGCCTTTCTTTTCTTCGGTTCCTTCTTTTAATTCATGTAACAACGAAAAGAAAAATGAGGAGAATAAAACCCACCTACTATCCAACTCTTTTCAATATGTATTATTAATTCTTTGGCTCTGTTCTCATGTGCAACTTAATTTAAGTCAGTATAAATCTATTATCATCTACTTCATGTATATTTTTCTCCTGTATGTTGTTTTCATATGTGAACTTTAAAATGGGGCATAAGGTTCTGTGTAACAGGTCACATTTTACTATTTCATTTAAACCAGTCAGTTGAAAGATTTTTTAAGTTCAAAAAATTCCCCCTTATTCTCAATGGTTTTGCAAATGCTGACTCCGTCTATGCCTTTAATGTTCTCAGAAACAGACTTTTAATTTCGTTGTAATAGCTGGCCTTTTCTTACACGGGAGTCGAAAACACTCGTGACAGAGCCACTGACCTGACCGAAAATCTTAAAAGCCAAGGGCAAAGGGGTGTAACACCCCAGGTCTTTCAGGAAAAACAGCAGGTCGGGGGCAGGTCTTTCTCTGTGTGAGCAGATGAAATCAAACGACCTCACGCTGGCCAGCCCTGGCAGCCAAAAGCCCCCAGGAAAGTCGGGGTCCTACCTGGACGAGAAGCGCTCCATCTTCATGCAGCCCACCGCTCCTAACAGTTCAGGGGGAGAAATGTCACCAGGGCTTTAATTCATTGCTGTCCCGATATGCAAATGGAAATTTAAAAAGAAAAATATCTCAGGTGAGAAATGTATTTCTCAGGTCTTAGGAGAAGCAGGAGCCAGGACGTCTGGGGCCACCCGGGTAGGGGGACATGGGGATGCAGGACCGCATGAGGCAGGGCCCACACCTCTGACAGTGCTTAACCTCTCCCTGGGGCCGAGGTGAGAGGCCGTAAAGCCACCAAAGAGACAGTGGAAAAGGCGGGGTCTTGTAAAACTGGGGTTAACCAGGCCTAATAACTATCGTTAGTTGCGGGTTAAAAATATCAGACTTATTTTTGGGGAAAAAAGAGGCAATTCAATGACACCAGCCAGTGGCGATTCCAGGCTGGAGGAGTGGTGGGAAGTAATGGCTTTAATCAGGGAATTCTAAGCACCGCCTAGGGGACTCTGCGTTTGATATCTGATTGCCAAGTTTTAAATCCTGAACTTTGCTTTCATCTTTGAGGTTCCGAGAAAGGTGTGTGTGTGTGTCGAGCGCTGTGCTCTGGCCTGGGCCCACTCAGGTGGGCCGGTGGGGAGTTCAGCGCGTGGGGGGCGGGGCGAAGGCGGGGCAGCTAGCAATGCTGATCGAAGTTCAGGGTCAGGGAGGGCCCCGGCGGGGCTCCTGACCTCACGTGACTGCCTGTAAGTTCCTGGAGTTGCCAGGGGAAGCTGGAAGGGAGCAGGGGAAGGCGCAAGGGGGCGGCCTTGGGGTCCGCAGTCAGGGTGCCAAGCCTGCCCCAGGAGAAAGTTCTAGAAACACGGCATGGGACGCCGGTTCGGCTCGGCACTGGGTTTCGCCGAGATTTTATGCGCGTCCCGCAACACCAGCATTAACCCCAGGTTCAGAGGTGCCCGCGGTTGTCCTCAAGGCGTTTATTTGGCGGCCACAACCCAGCTGGCGAGGTGCACCCCAAGGATTTAATTTGTTACTAAATACGTCTGAAGGCATGGGTAGTTCTTAAAGGTAATTTAATTCTCATTTTTAAAGTCAAAGCCTGGCGTCTACCAAACACTGCAAGTCACGCAAATGGGCAGCTTTTCTGTAATTCCCTTGTCCCCGGCCCCTGTCCACCGCCCTGCGCGGCAGAAGCAAGCCCGCTCTTTCGCGCCAGTGTCTGCCTGTGTCACCGTGCTGGGTCCACCGGAGCTGAGAAAGGCCGCTCTTTGCCACCACGGCTGCATTTTAGGAGTTTAAATGTCAAATTATTTTTATTGGGGGCGGGGAGGGCCATATCAGACCGATGGGTGGGTGCATTCCCAAGGCCGCAGCCGCTGGCCGTTGAATCCCCGCTGTCCTTGAACTCCCCGTGTGGCCTTCCGGCTCCCGGGGGCTGCAGACATTCCTAGGGGACCCTGCAGCTTGGCCCCAGCTCTGGAAGCCGGATGTGGGGGAGGGCGGTGCGTAGGCGGCTGCCCACCCAGCCGGGCAGCTGCGAGGAGGCTTCAGGAAAACAAAGGAAGGACTTGGGGCAGCACTCACGGCCCTCAGAACCCAAGCGCAGGTAGCGCGGGCATCGCTAGTCTCACTTTAGGAACGCATCACTCACTGCACTTGGGGGTTTAAAGGTCTTCCCCACGGAGGGGGGCAGGTCTGTGGCCACACTGGCAGCATTGGTGCCTCCTTATGCAAAGGGGCTGTTGTGGAAGTTTTAGAACTTGAACTAGGACCCCTGGGAGGAGCCTCCCCATTTTCAGAGGAAGGAATGGGACCCTGAGTCTGGCGATGGGTGAGCTCAGCCCACACCCGAAGGCTGTCAGCCTCCCTGCACACCAAGTCCCTTCCTATGGGGGAGGGAACTCACCGGAGACCTGTGTTCCTCCCAGGTGCAGAGAGCGGGGAGTCAGGTGTACGCAGCCTAGAGAGAACCCGGTCGGGGGTTTCAGGATGGCGGGGGTGGGGGGGTGGGGTGGGGGGTGGGGAATGGGGGGCTGTGGTATTTGAGTGGCTGCGTATCTTCGATTGGGCTGGGGACCGCCAGGCATTTAATGCGTCTACTGTGTTGCGGTCGAGGGCGGGGCTCCGGACACAGACAGGAGAAGTGACCCCATCATGTCTCAGGGGAGAAAAAAGGACCATAATCAGTGACTGTAAGCAAAAACTTGCTTCTGCCTCTGAGTGGGGGAATTGAGCAGCGACTCTAGAACGGCCATGGATGCCTGTGCCCGGTCACTGCTAGAACTGACAGAGGCCACCAGCCTCCAGCCAGCGAGTGCTCCCTGTCCGAGTCCCAGAGAGCAGCAGGCTCGGGGTTAGGAGACTTTTGTGAAATGGGGGTTGTCCAGCCCTGGGCAGCCCCCCTCCTCCCTTAGGGAGGGCACTGAAGGCTGGAAATGAAAAAACGATGCGCTGGGCCTTGGGACATTTCCCTGTCACCCTCTGAGGTGCCTGTGCGTTAAAACCTGGGGCAAGAGAGACAGACCTGTGTGTTCAAAGTCACACAAATAAGCATTTGACCTAACACCATCCAACCAACCAAGAACAGTCCAACACAAAACAATCATAACCAAAGACAGACTTCCAGCGTGTGTCCGAAACTCAAGGAAGATGCAGCAGGCGCTGAGATTAGCTCTTGGTGGAGAACGAGCTGTGTTAAACCCCAATTAGAGAGTCAGCCGAAAAGACAGCCATTTCTGCGGCACGATAACCAGGTTTTAAGGTAAAAGGCTATTTTTATCACAGAACCCCTAGGGGTGCGTCGCGTCTTACCTGTCCCAGTTCCCGGAACATTCAGGCAGGCTGGGCCGGGGAGTCCCTCCAGGGGAGGTGGGCACAGCTTCTAATCCCACCTAGCTCCTCGCCCAACAGCTCAGGATGAAACCGCGCCCGTTCATTAACAAGTTAATGGCTTTCTGTTCTCACCGAGGAACTTAAACGGCGTCTGGAAACCTGGTCTGTCTGCATTTGCCACAGATCTCTGTGTGGGGTTTGGAAGGATAGCTTCTTGCTCACACAAATTTGCGATTTCTGGGGAAGACAGACTCAATCCAGCGATTTAAACTAGATAGGAAGAGAAGGGCTTATCAGAGGACTCCCTTTGCGTGTGAGTTGGGGGTGGTATATCATACGAATTCCTCTAGAGACACATTATAAATTATTTAATCCATGAATGGACACTTGGCGTGTTTCTGCATTCTGCAGGGAGCTCTGTGGAGGGGCATCCTGGGGAATGCTGGAGAGTGTAACCAGCTGGTAAATTTCTAGCCCCCGAATTGCTTGGTTAAAATGTGAACCTTTCCTAATTAGTTTTCCAAGAAGGCTGCACCAGTCCCCTTTCCTCCCCTTCTCCCCTCCCCCACATGCCCTCCATATCCTTACCAGCTGGCCGTATGGAGCCTCTTGATTTTTGCTGATTCTGTATGTGAAAAATAGCATCTTGTTGTTTGGATTTGCGTTGTTTCTTCTAGTTCATGGGATGCTTGTACTGTTGACCTTGAGCATCATGGATTCGAATTGTGCGGGTCCCCTGACATGTGGGCTTTTCTCAGTCAAGACTAACATTTTCTCTCATGACTTGCTTAGTAATATTTCCTTTAGCTTATTTCATTGTGAGAGCAGAGTATATAATAGATATCACATACAAAATACATGTTAGTGGACAGTTTTGGGTAAGGCTTCCAGTCAATAGTTGGCTGTTAATAGTTAAGTTTTGGGGGAGTCACAAGTTATATGTGGATTTTCAACTGTGCTTGGGGGTCAGTGCCCAAAACCCCACGTTGTTCAAGGGTCAACAGTATTTCTTTTTCTATGACTTGGAAGGTCGTTCTTAAGGGGAACTTGTTTTTGGAGAGCCCGGAGGCCATTTGCTCTGGGCTTCCCTGGTTTCTGGTTGAGGGGCGCTGGGTAGTGCCCTCCCTCCCCTCCCCCCACCCCATCGTCAGAATTTACCTCACTGTCAACACTGGAGTGTAAACTGCTTGTTTTGTTGTCCTTCACCCAGCCCACCCCCTGTCCTTTATCCCCCAGATGCCGTGGTCCAGAAACCCGGTCTCCCGGAAATCTCGGCTTCCCACCCACCCTCTAGTGCAGGGTCTGCCCGTGCAGGCTTTCTCTGGCTTAATCTCACTCCATCTGATGGGAGTGTGAAGTCTTGGCCCTAGTTTCTAAAAGGGGGTGTGGGCGAGGCAAGGGCGGGACTTTGAGAAGCACCCCAGGAGAACAACTCACTTTCCTACCCTGAGGCAGGAAATACAACAAAAAGAGAAACAAATCCCAAGAATTCCAAGCAATGCTGGATTCGGGGGCAGCTTGTTCAAGAGAGTTTGCTGTATGAGATCATCTCGATGCCCTCCCTGGAAATCGTGTTAGGGTAGGGAAGGTCTGACGTAGGCTTTTAGACATGGTTATGGTTGAGAACTCTTTCTTTCTCAACCATTCTTTCTCACCAAAATTTTTCTCCTTCCAACCAAATTCAACAAGTATTTACTATACTACTCTGTGCTGAGCGCAGTGAGGGGGGAGGGCTCTCCCAGACGGCTCTTACTCCCTCCTCCTGCCCCCCACCCCCCAGATAAGACAAACCCAGAAGTCTATGCCAAGTGTCATTTTAGTGTTATCAAAAAATGTGAAATCAGGCAGTCACTTCCTGATCCCAAGGCCAACGGCCCCAGCAGACAGTCGGAGGGGCAGACAGACTCCCAGGTGGGAGACTTGGGAAGGCAAGCTGGGGTCTCGCTAGGGCTCATAACATCTGCAGAATCTCATTTCAAGTGCTTCCTAAGTGGGTTTGGTATTTGTTTACATCCAGGCGTTCTTCACAGCTCTTAGCGTTTTTGAAATGGATTACATACAAGCGGAGGGAGGTGGGAGTCAGAAACCCAGCCCTTAGCAGAAATGAATTCAAGTGCTCTAGGGAGGAGAGTTCCTGTGTGCAGACCATCCCAGGCACTTTGAGGGGTGCCCCACCCTGGAAACTCAGCTGAGCTCTGCCAGATTCTGACCTATGGGAGCTGCGACATAATAAATGATGTTGTGTTAAGCCACTGAGTTTGTGGGAATTCGTTGCACAGCGCTATCAAATGAGTACAAATACTTAAAAAAACTTTTTATCGAAGTATATTAAACATTCATAAAAGTGTACAGATAATAAGGGTTACAAGTTAGTCAGTGATCCCCACGTGAACACCATGTAACCCCTACTCAGGTCAAGAAGACTAACACGAGAACTCTAGGAAAGCACCTCCTGCCTCTTTACAATCAGCACCCCCTCGCCCTTTCCCCAAACTAGCTACTTTTCTGCTTTCTAGTCCCATAGGTTGGGTTTCCCATGGCTTTGAAACTTTGTATACCTGTGCATGTACTTCTACTTCTTTTTGCTCGAATACCTGTGCATGTACTTCTACTTCTTTTTGCTCAACTGTGTGTTGGTGAGAGTTGTCTGTGATGTTTGCCGAAGTTTGCTCATGTTCACTGCTGTATAGTATTCCATCGCGTTGACTCCATATGCAGACTCAGCACTGCTTATTCATTTAAATTTATTTTTAACTATAGTTGATGCACAATAGTAGCTCCGGGTGCACAACATAGTGATCCAACATTCATATACCTAACAAAGTTATTGAGATAAGTCTCGTACCCACCTGTCACCTTCTGTAGGCATTACGACGTCGGCTCCGTGCCCTGTTCATTCAGCACTGTTTGTTGGAGAAATCTTTCTCCCGTTACTGCTCCGCCCCACGGTTTTCATCCGGAATCTGCCGACTGTGTGTTTGTGAGCTGGTTTTCCTATGCCCTGTTCTGTGTGGTTGGCCCACCTGTTCAATGCCAGTCTGTCTTCGTTACTGTGACTTTGTCATGGTCCTGGGTACCTGGCATAGCAGGTGCTCTCCCTCTGGGCTTCGTACCCAAGGCCATCCTGACTAGACTTGGCCTTTACATTTCCATCTAATTTTTAAGTAAGTTTCGAACTGCTCTGACTCTTCAGAGGGGAGCTGGAGTTAACATCTGTGTCACGTTGAGCCTTCCAGTCCATGAAGATTTCTTCAGGTATCGTTTAAGTTCTTTCAGTAATTTATATAGTTTTCTCTATAGAGGTTTGTGCATTTTTTGTTAGATTATATCTAAACATTGTTTTTTTAATGTCGAGGGAAATGGCGTCTTTTGCTCCCATTTTTGTGGGTGCATATATTTACATATCAGATTTAAATATCTGATTTATATCAGATATTTCCAGTATCTGCATCCCTGTGTCCAGTCGACCTGATGAGACTTATTCCGTCAGTCCGCTCAGGCCACCACGACGAATGCCACACACCGAGGGGCTCAAACAGCAGGATTTCTTTGCTCAGAGCTCCGAAGGCTGGGAGTCCCAGCCGGTTCGGTTTCGTCTGCGGCCTGGCTCCTTGGCTTGCAGACGGCCTCCCTCTCAGCCTTCTGTCACAGTCTCTGCTCTGTGTGCACGTCTTCGTCTTTTTCTTCTTATTTTTAAAGATTTTACTTACTTACTTTTAGAGAGAGGGGAAGGGGGAGAAGAGATAGAGAGAAACATCAATATGTTGTTGCCTCTCACATGGCCCCCACTGGGGACCTGGACCCACAACCCAGGCATGTGCCCTGACTGGGAATCGAACTGGCGACCTTTTGGTTCGCAGGCCGCCATTCAATCCACTGAGCCACGACAGCCAGGGCCTAAGCTCTTCTCATAAGCACACCAGTCATATTGGATTAGGGTCTACCCATAAGGCCTCACTTTATCTGAATTATCTATTTAAAGGCCCTGTCTCCAACGGTTATTTCTGAGGAACTGGAGGTGAAGACCTCAACATATAAATTCTGACGTGGTCCAGTTCAGCTCATAAAACTTACCAACTCTTTTTTTTATTTTACTGATTATGACATTACAGTTATTCTATTCCCCCCTTCATTCCCCTTCACCCTGCACCCCCCCACCCACCATTCCCCCCTTTAGTTTATGACCATGTGTCTCTAGTTCGTTAGATTCTGTATTTCCCATGCTATTCTTGCCCTCCCCCCTATTTTCTACCTACTGTCTATGCTACTTATTTTCTGTATCTTCTCCCCCCTTCTCCTCCCACTCCCCTGTTGCTAACCCTCCACATGATCTTCATTTCTATGTTTCCGCTCCTGATCTAGCTGTCCTTTTAGTTTGCTTTTGTTTTAGGTGTGGTTGTTAATAACTTGTGGGTTTGCTGTCCTTTCACTGTTCATCTTTTTTATCTTTTTTTTCTTAGATAAGTCCCTTTAACATTTCATACAATAAGGGCTTGGTGATGATGGACTCCTTGAATTTGATCTTATCTGAGAAGCACTTTATCTGTCCTTCCGTTCTAAATGAAAGTTTTGCTGGATAGAGCAATCTTGGTTGTAGGTCTTTGGATTTCATGACTTGGAATACTTCTTCCCAGCCCCTTCTTGCCTGTAAGGTCTCTTTTGAGAAATCCACTGACAGTCTGATGGGAACTCCTTTGTAGGTGACTGTCCCCTTATCTCTTGCTGCTTCTAGGATTCTCTCCTTCATTTTAATCTTGGCTAATGTAATTATGATGTGCCTTGGTGTGTTTCTTCTTGGGTCCAACTTCTTTGGGACTCTCTGAGCTTCCTGGATTTCCTGGAAGTCTATTGCCTTTGCCAGATTGGGGAAATTCTCCTTTATTATTTGTTCAAATAAGTTTTCCACTTGTGGCTCTTCCTTTCCCCCTTCTGGTACCCCTATAATTCGGATGTTGGAGCGTTTAAAAATGTCCTGGAGGTTCCTAAGTCTCTCCTCATTTTTTTGAATTCTTGTTTCTTCATATTTTCCTGTTTGGCCATTTTTTTCTTCCTTCTGGTTCTCTCCCTTGATTTGAGTCCCAGTTTCCTTTTCATCACTATTGGTTTCCTGTGCCTTTCCCTTCATTTCAATTAGTTTCGCCTTCATATGTTCCTCAATTTGTGACTAAAATCAACCAGTTCTGTGAGCATCCTGATCACCAGTGTTTTGAACTGTGCATCTGAAAGTTTTGCTATTTTTTCGTCACTTAGAGTTATGGGCTCTGGGGCTTTGAGATCTTCTTGAGCCATTTTTGGTCTGTTCTCACCTGATAAGTATGAGGAGTGGAGCCTTAGGTGTTCACCAGGGCGGGGCCACCCAGGTCGCTGGGTTGTGACTCTGTATGTGGGGCCGGGGTCAGAGTGGGGAAATGGCAGCCCCCTCTGCTGCCTCTCGCCGCTGGGGCCTCCTCAGTCTCGACTCACTGCCCCACTGCCCCACTGCCCCACCGCCCCACCGCCCACTCCCTTGCTGGTCTAGCTGTGCACGAATGCGGACCACAGTCAACCCGCCGCCCTACTCCCTCTCTGGGTCTGCCTGTTGCAACCCCACGCCTGGGATCTGCGCGCCTGAGTCCGTCTGACCAAGTTTTTCTGTACAACCCCGCTCCACCAGCTGTGGGCTTAGTCCCTCTTACCGGTCAGGCTGAAGTATTTGTTGTTATCAGACTTTCGAAAAGTTCAATTTTCTGTGTTCTTGCTGTGTTTTCTGTTGTTAATATTTTGTTGTCTTTAAACTTGGTTGTGTGAGAAAGCACGGCATCTCCACCTATTTCTCCATCTTGGCGGAAGTCAAAACTTACCAACGCTTGTAGTTTATTTGTAGGTTCCTTTGGATCATCAACATAAAGAATCATATTATGAATAAATATTACATTTGTTATATATGATATCCTATATTACATATTCTACTTATTATCTGCTTATGTATTAAGTGAAGTGAAAGTCACACAGCATAAATCAACCGTTGTAAAGTGGCCAATTCAGGGGCGATCACTGCATTCACAGTGTTGGGCAGCTACCCCCCTACCCAGTCCTGCAATGTTTCAATTGCCCCTATGAAACCCCGTACACGTTGAGCAGTTGCTCCCTGGTGGTCTGGGCAGAGGCTTTCCAGATAAAATATAGGGCACCTAAGTTATACTTAAATTTCAGATAAACAACAAATATTTTGTGTGTGTATGACACACACTATTTGAGACATACTTTTGTAAACACGACTTGTTGTTTATCTGAAACTCAGATGTACTGAAAGCATTTTTCTTTGCTGGATTTCTCGGTCCCACCTGGGTCCACGTTACGGTCGAAGGAGCCCGGGCCGTATAGTGACCCACTTCTCCCATCCGTACACCACCAAAGCATCGCATTGCTTTTTGATGCGTTTACAGGGAAAATTTTTTTTTTCTGCTTAAATGTGAGTATGCTTTTGAATATTTAGCTCTCATAAGTTGAAATAGGCCCTGGCTGCTGTGGCTCCCTGGATTGAGTGTTGGCCTATGAATCAAAGGGTCGCTGGTTCAATTTCCAGTCTAGGACACGTGCCTGGGTTGCAGGCCAGGTCCCTGGTAGGGGCCACATGAGAGGCAACCACACGTGGATGTTGCTCTCTCTCTAGAATGTATTAATTAATAAATAAATAAAATCTTTTAAAAATTGAAAGAGTATTTAAATAGTACCTGAACTGACACTGCTTTTCCCATTTATATTCTATGGTTCATAATACCACAAAAAAACCAAACCAAACCAAAACAAAACCCACACCAAACACTAATTGCGAAGTAGGTAACTTACATTTTTTATCAAAAGGGAAAAATTATAAACATTCTGTCCTAACTAGTAAAATGCACATCCAACACTTGAGAGATCTGACTTAATAGTCAGAAAGGCTTTCTTGGTGCCCTATCAATTTGGTATCCAATGTAAAATGATAATTCAACTGTAAGTGTCAGCAATTATAAATGCCACCAATTGTAAATGTCATCAACTAGAAAATGTCCTACGTAGGAATTAGTCCTTTCAAAACTGAGCCATTCTGTAGGGAGAGCTACGATGCATGTATGAGACAGAGGTGGTTTCCGTTTAGGGCCAAGGAGTAGGAGGGGTGCTGCCACGGTGGGGGGGTTTGCATGGACTGGGGGCAGGGTGCTCAATTCTTAGTGATTAACCAACTGTCAAATTGTAACAATGTTGGATATTAACAAATCATATTCTCCCAGGGAGTCACAGTTCGAAAGAGAACCTAAACTCACATGTCTTAGGAAATTAAAAAGGAAAAAAAGAAAAAACCCGTAAGAATAAAATCAAGCCTTCACATCTGTTGCTTCAAACGTTGAAAAAACATTTTACATTCCCTGCGACCTTGGCTTTCTTACCCTGCTTTTTGTGCGGCTCCCAACTTAGAGTGCTGAGGCTCGGCCCCTTTCCCTTTTCTGGCCGGTTTTAGGCGACGCACGTCAGCGTTTCCACTGTCAAACGGCCTGCCACCTGCCGGGAGGTGCAGGTAATCCCGGGTTACCGGCGCTCACTGGCCGGCGGGCGTTTGCCCGGGGCCAAGCCCTCCCCTCCGAAGGCTGTTTTGTCTCCTGCCGCTGAGTCACAGAGAATAGATAGACAGTTTATCAGCACATGTCCTGCAGATCAGGTTTGCAGTTTACAAATATAGCCGTTAGCGCGCTGGCGAAGGCTCTGCGTTTTGGAGCGCTTCCGGCTCCGGTGTGGCGCAGCGGCAGGGGCTCGGGCTGCGGCGCGGTCGCGGGTAGGTGGCGGTCGTGCTTGGGGGGTGCGGGGGCGTGAGGGAGCAGCTGCTCCCGAAACCCGGGGCGATGGCGGGGACTGGGAGGGTGGCGTCGTGTGGCACCTGCCCGGAGGATGGGGCAGTGCGCTCCTCGTTTATGTTTTTCCCATGGTAGGACAGGGGTGAACAACCCCAGCAGGACACACAGGGTGGAGGATTACACAGTAATCCGCGTTTGAGGGCAAGGACTGGAATTGAGTGAGGCGGGGAGCAGGAGACTGGGCTGCTGCTGGGGCAGGGTCACCACACTCCTGCTCCTTGGGTAGTGGGCACTCCCAGTACACTGCCCGGGTGCCCAAGGCCAAGCTCAGAACTTCGTGGTCCCAAGTGCAGTCCAGGGAAGATAAATCAACTTTGTTTGTGACTTCTTCAGTGCCCTGAAAGGGATGACTGATGTCTGTCCCAGACGTCTTTCCTCTGGAGACTGCCTTGGCTGCGGGGTGAGGGTGAAACGGTTCTCAGCACCCGGAGGAGAGCTGCCCGCCTTTGCAGGCAGCTGGGCCGTGCTGGCGGCTCCCCTGCCGGACCCAAGCCTGTCCCATAGCTCGGGGCTGGGGCGTGCCCCCAAACCACCTCTGCTAACCAGACCCCTGGGGGGTGGGGGGTGGGAATGCCCCCAGTGCTTGTGTCCCTCTCGTTTTTGCCTTATATGTAATTGGTGACAATGTCTGCCTTGATTTATTTTTTTAGAAAATCATAACTGACATTTTTGAGCTTTGCTAGGGGCCGGGTACTGTCTTAGGCACTTGACACATGTCATCTGTCACATGTCATCTCCGCAGCAGTGCTATGAGCTCAGAGTTGCTGTCACACCCGTGTCTGGGTGAGAATGCCGAGGTGCAGAGAGGCTGGGTGTCCCCCCAGGGGTACTTTATCATGTGACATAACATGTAATTTAACTCAGAATTTGGTTGAAATATTGCGACCATACTGACCTCACCTCCATAGTTTTGTTTACCTTACTGTTTCTATCAGAAAACTCACTCTGGGGGCCAGACCGTAGCCTCCTGTGAGGACAGAATGGAATTTGTGCGTCACTAAAGCCCCTTGTGTGCCGTATAGTCTCTGCTGTACCTTGGTGTCACCAGAAATACCCACCAATCACCGTCATTCCCTTGGGTCCAGCAAGGCAGATAGGTCTGGAAGAGGCTGCAGAAGGCCCGGGGCCAGTCTGCCCACGGGAAAGGGGGGCCCTGATGACTCCGAGGGGCAGGTGGGGAGGAGGGGGGCCAGGCCTCTCTCCCCATGGCTAGTTTAGATGACCCTCTGACACTGGCTTCGCCCCTCCCCCTTTCCCCTCTGCCGCCGACCCTCTATAGACCTGGAAGGGGGAGCACCAAGGAGGGCCTGGCGCTGGACTGTGGCCTTTGTCGGGCCTCCTCCCACACGCCCTAGATCCTCCCTCCCGCCACAGATTCTCTCAGATGTTGGCTTCATCTGCACCCCTCCCTCCCAGTCCAGTTTATCAGTTGTCAAGAGAGGACAAGGTGACCAGGACGTCCCCTCCCCCCGCCCCCGTCTGGTACCCCGGCATATGACTTCTCGGTGAAAACATGTGTTCTGCTGCCAGGGGACATTTTTTCCAGGCATGCCTTCCGGCCCCGGGGCGGGGATGGGTCTGAAAGTGATCCCGGCGCACCTGGGGTGGGGAGGGAGCGTGGGAAATTATCTCCTTTCCTCACGGTGCCTGCAGGGCCGGCCCCTGACCCCCCACACCCACACTTGAGGCCATCCCTCCTGTGGCTCCCACAGCGGCTGGGGCAGCCTCTGGCGTTGAACCCTCACACTGCTGCGTTGCAGTGAACCCCTGTCAGCATGCCTCTCCCCTCCAGGTCGAGAACTCGGGCACAAGGACATTTACCTTTCTGCATTTAGTGAGTGTGGTTAAATGTCTGGTGTTTAGGGTTCCTGAGAATCAAAGGACAAAAATACACACACCTCGTAAACTGGCTCAGAGCACTGGGTTCCTGCGTGGAGGTTCAGAAGCAGGAGCCTGGCATCTGTAGTCTTCCAGCCGGTGCTCCTGGGTGACCAGTGTTGGGGGCTGGGGGACCGACGGGGAGGCCCGGCTCTGAGCCCAAGCCTGGGGCCTCTCAGGTGGCTGCCCCTGTCCTAGAGTGTGGCTCTTCTCAGCTCGGTCTGTGAGCACATGAAGTATAATCAAAGGACTGAATAATCCAACTTGTATTGTGTGCTGTGCAGTAAATAAGCTAGAGTCCGAGAGAGGAAATAACAGGTGGGTCTACCTCTGGTGAAGGGGCAGGAAGGCGGGGCTGAGGAGAGGACCTGCAGCTGCGAACATGAATGGGGAACGGCCTCTAGGCAGAGGGAGCGTGTGAGCGGCCTGAGGGAAAAGAAGCTGGGGGGACAAGCACTGAGGATAGAGGGTGGTCGGGGTGAGTAGGGAGTTCTTATTGAGCCCTGGGAGGAGCTGGGGTCTCCCTCTCATTCCAGAGGGAGGTCTTTGGAGGACTTGAGCCAGGTGGCAAGCAGTGTGATCTGGTTCTTGGGAAATGACTGTCACTATTGTGTGGCAAATGGATTGGACATGGGAGAGTGGAAAGTCAGGAGGCCAGCTGTGAGTTTTGTACCACTGAGGCCAGGTGTGACACAAATTGGTGGTGAGAATCGCATGCTCACTAAGACTCAGGTGATGAATTGGGTGTGTGCATGAGAGTGTGTGCTGTGCGCATCGGGGTGTGTGCGTCATGTGTGTGTACACGCACGTCTGCATACGGGGCCGACAGAGCGAGGACACAGGAAGCAGCGTAAAGGAGTGGAATTCCAGATAAACATGGCGTCATTCTTGAGATGGGAATTAAGGCAACCAGGGGTGGATTGTTCTAAATGGGTGAGTTGAGAAGGAGTTGTGTTTCCCTGAGATATGCGTGAGGCAATTCCTAGCGGATGTGTCAAAGGAAGCAGCTGGAGACGTAGTCACCAGATGTCACTACAGCGTCAGGCTGATGTTTGTAAGTGCCTCTTATCTTCCTGCCCACCATACTGGTTATTTAGCGCTGCTGTAAAACAAAGTCACCCAGCACCTAACAGGTCTAAACAATGACATGTATTATCTCGCAGTTTCTGAGGGCCATCTGGAGTGGCTTAGCTGGGTGGTTCTGGCTCAGGGTCTTTCATGAAGTTGCTGTCACAGTGTTGGCCAGGACTACAGTCATCCGAAGTCATCTCCACTGGGGCCGGAGGGTCCGCTTTTGAGACAGCTTCTGCTCACATGGCTGTCGGCGGGAGGCCTCAGTTGCTTCTGCGTAGGGCTGCTTGAGCATCCTTATGACATGGTGGCTGACCTCTCCCAACGAGGTGGTGGGAGAGAGAGAGAAGCCTTGTAGGATCCAGTCTCAGAGTCATACACCATCATTTCTACCACATTCTGTTCATTAGAACTGAGTCACTGCCCTGGTCGGCTCAGTTGCTTACAGAGTTGTCCCGATACAACAAGGTTGTGGGTTCCATCCCTGGTCAGGGCACATACTAGAATCAACCAACACATGCATGAATAAATGGAACAACAAATCAGTGTTTCTCTCTCTCTCTCAAATTAAAAAAAAGAAGAAGTGAGTCACTAAGTCCAGCCCTTGCTTAAGCAGAGAGGAATTAAGCTCTACCTTTATGAAGGGAAGAATGTCAAGGAATTAGTGGGTATAGTTGAAAGCCGTCACTTCCACCAAAGCAAAATATTTTATATTTTATTGTTCACTGGAGCTGGGATCAGTAAGCCGTCACCCATGGGCCTGGCACGTGCTTCTGTCTGGCACATGGGTGCTGCGGGACCTGGCCGGTATTGTGAGCCATGGAGACTAAGTCACAGTGTCCCCCTTTGTCCCAGTCCTCCTCAACTCTCATTGCCTGTCTGCATGGCCAGCTGCATCTTGACCTGCCCAAGGTCCTCACTGGCTGCCACTGCATGTTGGAGACTCTGCTCTTGACACCTGCCAGGCCACCAGGCAGTTGGTTACTTAGCAAGTTACCTAGCCTCCAGCCAGCTGCCCAGCTCGAGATGATCGGAGGAGGGGACGTGCAGGCATCTGGGTGTCACTGGGGCAGAGTGAAACCGTCTGCCGCAGGCCCCCTCTCCCCTGCCCCTCTGCTCACCCCTGCTGGGCCTTTCTCAGTGGGCCAGCCGCTGTTGTCCTGAGAATGTCTCCAGCAGGTAACAACCGGGCAGAAGCATGGATGTGTGCCCACAGCTCCGGCAGGCCCGCCCCAGGCCAATGGGGAGGGACAGGCCCTGCGAGTTCTGTTTTGCTCAGTAAGCACCCAGGTAATATCTTCCATTTCACCTGTTGGCTTGCAACACGTGTACTACCTTGCCCTTTATTGAAAAGTTTGCTGACCCCTGCAGTGAAGCAGAAGGTGTTTCCAGGAGGAATTTACTTTTCCACTATGAATCTAACTTTTGAGAGTTTCTGAGTGCTGACATGCTCACTTGGGGCCTGTACCATGAAGCACTGGAGAGGCAGGATCTTCACCTCATGGTCCCCACGGTCCCCTCTGTCACAGTGACATCATTGCTTTCCTCTCCTCTCACAGTCCTGGTGTTTTCTTCTCTGCACATGCTCAGTGGCTGTGGACAGTGCAGCCAGACCTAGGAAGACGTGTGCTCGTGATTCTGCTACAGCAGAATCTCCGAGTCTCCAGCAGGGAACTGGACTCTGTTGTCTCCCAGGAACCACGGATGTTGGTGTCAGACTCAGGGGGCCCAGATGAAAGCTGCGTACCCTTGTGGTGGTCGGGGGAATCCACTTGGTTGTCACGCGTCCTCTACAAAGAGGTAGCTCTGTGTCTCGGGTCTCCAGCCTGGATCCTGTAGGTTACCTTCTCTCTGTCCTGCTGTGGTAGAGTATGTCCTGCTCATATGTCTGTAGTGCTGGAGAAAGTTCATGCTTAGAAAATTGCATGTACGTGTTTGCCTGACAGGTTGTGTTGCCTGGAGTTTATGCCAC